TTTAACACTTAGAAAAATCTAAGTGTTTTGAGTTTCCCTAGTGCTGCCATTGATGAGCTTTGGTGGGATAGACCTTGATCCTCATGTTTTTCACTGGGACGCTTATAAGGGTGTAAGGAAGCCTGACTATTTAGTAAAAGTGTGTGTTCATTGGTCTTCTTTCCTACCTTCCTTCCTTCCTTCTTTCCTCCTTTTCTTTTTCTTTACTTCCTTTTTCATTCTCTTATCTTCTCCCTTCTTTCTTTAAAATTATCTGGGGCAATTTTAAACTTTTTTTGGAAACAGTGTCTCATATTATACTGTTGTCAGGCTCTTAATCTTCCTGCCTCAGCCTCCTGAATGCTGGGACTGCAGACCTGGACTACTACACTTGGCAATTTCTTGGTATTTTCTGACACTGGTCATGTCCTCAATAACAGCACTGTTTGTCGTAGGGACTTTGGTAGTATGTGTAGCACTAGTTTTTGTATGTCATTTCCTACTTGAAAAGTTCAAATGACCTTGGTATCCCACAGTGAGGTTCAATTGTTTCTGGAGAGGCTTAATGGTAGAATTAAACATACAAAGTAGAAGCAGGGCCAAAAATCAGCATAGATGCACTTCATACTCCTGAACAGTATACTAGTATAAAAGTCATGCTAGGTATCTGCTGTAATATAGAAAATTTAGACCAATGAACCATCAAATTGTGTGCATATCAAAGATAGGAAAATATTAAAGAGAGAGCACAGACAGAACCTTCAAAAATCTATGCCCTATCCCTTAAGTCAAGCAAAGTTATCAGTTCTCCAGAAGTTAAGTACTATTCTCTGGTATTTACTCTTTCAAATAGATGTTGATTCTTTCTGGACATATTCTAAACAACTTGGCTGTACACTTTGTGGGCTACTGACCATTTCAGACTCTCAGCTCCATATTTTTATTTTTTCTCCAATTATCTAAATGTGATAAAAAAACTGATATCAACTTTATTCCATTATAAACAAATCAATAAATGTCTTTTTTAATATTCTAGGAAGGATAAAACCCCTAAAATACCTTGGGGGCCTCAGTCTGGATACAGATTTAAAATAATTTTTCTGGGTCCACCAAAATTTAGAAATACACTAGATGGAGTACTTCCTGCATTTGTGAATTGCCCAAATTTTTAGTCAAGATTAACTCAAGCAAAGAATGGCATCCTGTGTAGAAAAGGAGGCAAGTCAAGTAGGTAATATACTGACTCTAGGATTTGGGATATAATGTAGTGACTTGTCTTTTCTTTTCAAAAATGCCAGGCAGACACCCTTAACTCATCTTTTAGTGGGAAAAGCCAGAAGTTACTATAGAATCTGTCAAATCTGAATCTATACAGATTTCCTTTAATAATTTGGACAAACCCTTAAGCAGTCAAGCTTCACCAGTGGCCTATTAAATTAAGCAACATCAGATCAGTAGGTTTTTAAAATACAGACAGATATGTAGTAGAACCTGCTAGTTCAAACACCTCTGTGCTTGGAATTCATCTCATCTTTGAAAAAATGAAAAGAAATAAGATTGAAAAATATAACTGCTTAATGTTTTTAGCAGAATGCTACCTCTGAACTTCAGGGTAGTAGAAACTCATGTCATTTTTCAAATATTGTCATTAAAATTTTTGAAAAAACTTTATTAAAGACTAAATTTTTTTTATTTTTACATTTTATGTCATGGGAAATATGATTTTCAAGTTACCAAATAACATTAATAATGCATTTCCCCTTTATCCAAGGCAAAACATTTTCCTCTTTGGAGACATCTACACAGTCGTTTTTTGGGGGAAAAGAAAAAAGGAAGTGAAGGAACTTAGAGTGAGAGTTTGCATTTAATGAAAGATACATGTTTGACTTGTGATTATAAAATAATTGCTGTCGTAGATTTGAGTTTACACGGTAGTGCTGAGTATTAATTTGTATAAAAAGCAAACTGTAATTCTGTTAGCATTTAAGGTTACTACTCTGGCACTGAACCGTTAAAAGTTATTGTTTATTATGCCATGAAAAGAGTAGAGTCACGTCAAGAGATTTTACCTATGTATATATGTGTAAATATTTCCTTTAGGAAGTGCCAGATCTACATGTGTACAATCAGTTCCAAAACATAGTTTAAATAATTATAAAACTTGAAAAGACAAGATTAAGATGCCTCCTGCTACATATACACTTCCTCTGCTATAATCTCATGCTGTCCATCAAGGACAGTGCTAATGGAAATAATAAAATTCAGTAACCATCATTAGATCATTGGGAGTGGTGTTTTGGAAGAAATAGGTGATAAAGACCTGGTCCTCTTGGGTTTCAGCCTTTTTGTGTTGGTTTGTTCCCCAGGAGCTGGGGCAGCTAAATAGCCCAGGGGCTGCATCTCCGTTGGGAGGTACCATCACAACAAGGAGATTGGGGTTGATAGATGAGCCTCGCTCTCCGTTAGGGCTTTTTTAACGTGGTGCCCTTTTATCTAAACGCATCTTTCTTTTCTTCCCAGGATGAAGAAATTAAGATTAGGAGGTGAGCACAGGAGAAAGGCAAAAGTTGGGAAGTTGCATCTAGATCCTCTGGCGCCATACAGTCCAACTCAGTCTCTCAGAATACTTTAGGACTATTCAGCCAAAGCTCCAGAAAATCATAAACAGTAGAGCATGCATTTACCTGGAATCTTTTCTGTAAGTTTCTCTCTCTCATGATTTTGTAGGAGCAGAGATAGACATGGTAGAGACTGGTCAAGACTTGGTCAAGAGTAGATGTTGGATTATAACTGTTTAAGGGACCCCTTGGCCAAGGATCTGAAGAGATTCCCTTTTTTTGCTAGGAAAATGGTTTATAGGAATTTCCAAGCAAGAGAGAAAAAAAGTAATGATCAGGACTCCAAGAATCATTTGTCAGATTGGAAGCATTTTCTGAGAAATGCGTTAATTTCCTCTTTAAGATATAATAAGTATTTTTTTTTTTTTTGTCTTTTTCCTTTTTATCGGTACCAGAGATCAAACTCACGACCACACACTTGCAAGGCAGGAGCATATGCCGCTGAGCTAAACCCCCAGGCCCCTAGATATAGTAAGTATTGATCACCTATTAATCCCCGTAGTTTCTTAGCCCTTTTACCGGAATGGTTTTGATTTTTGAAGACCTCTGATCCATCTGGCCTCCACCTTATGAGATATGAACAAAGAGGAGTTTTTCATGGCCACATTCCATGAAGACACAAAGCCTACAAAACAACTTTTAATTTCAGTAAATCTGACACATGAAGGAACAGAAGGAAAAAAATATCATGAAGTATCACTAGTGTCTTGTAAGTACAGTAGGATTATAATTGAGTGATTTGTTTACCTAACATGTGACTTGAAAAACTGCTTAAGGATTTTAAGAAAAAATATGGCCCTCAAGCATATATTCTAATACAGTATGCAATCTTTGGAAAGAAAACATTGATAATAGTCAGTGCGTTTGTTTAATATCAAGAAAGAGGGAAAACAGTGGCACATCTCTGGCCTCTTTCCTGCAGATGAATACTGAGTGCTAGACCATGTATGAAGAGCAAGAAAGCAGAGGAACTGTTAGAAAATTGACATTCTTTTTTTTTGTTTTTTGTCTTTTTCCTTTTTATCGGTACCAGGGATCGAACTCACGACTGCCTGCTTTCAAGGCAGGCGCTTACGCTGCTGAGCTAAACCCCCAGCCCCAAAAATTGATATTCTTGACCTTCAAATGCCAGATACTTCCTAGGTGCTGACAAAGAGAAAACTGGCAACACAGTTCATAGAGACTATAATGTTTCTCTAAAAGTGACTAGCACTAAGAATCTTGTTTTATAGAACAGAGTAGAAGAAATCTCTTTGTTGCGCAATGCCATCTAATTACAGAATGTAAATTACTTAGAATTGAAAGCACCAAAACAGGGCGTGTCTGACACACTCATGTCTTTTTGTAAGTCACGTAATTTCATAAGATATCTAAGACTTCAGAATAAGAGTAAGAATAATCACGTGATATTTATAAATGTAAGCAGTAATCATAAACAAGTCTGTTCAGAAACTGGACATTTGCTCTTTATTCAAATTAAAATTTATTCTTTTTATCCACATTGTTGCCAAGCCATTCACTTTAGGTAGAAAACACGTTTTTTTTTTTTTTTTTTTTTTCTCCTGAATTGATGAAAAATTAAAGTCCTATGGCTGAGGTTTAACTGCACTCAAACTACTTATATAAGATACATAAACACATTATTTTTCTTCCCTGTGGATTACTCTTCAAATGCGTTATGCTGTAAACCTTAAGTACAACTGCTTCCATAATTGAGTTTTCCATGAATTATGCAGCTGAGAAAAAGTCTGAATAGTATTTTGAATTTCCTTCCCCTTTTAATTTGAGCACTTATGTGATTTTGTGTCATTCTCAAAATCAAAGCTTCAAAATACTGAATGTTTAGGGTATGGATATTTTATGATATTTCTCTAAAATGGTTTTTGGAAAAACAAAGACATCACTCACTGTTTTACAAGACTCTGAAACATGCCTTTCTAAGGAAAATAACCCCAGAATTTTACAAGAGTTGTGCAATGGAAAGAATTTTAGGTTCAGAGAGATGAGAAGAAAGGAGTAATTTTCATTCTGCATACATGATCTGCCACTGCAGCTCTGAGCCCCTTTGTTCTGCAGAGTACCTCAGGAAGGAAATGGATGCTGCTGTGAAAGTCATCCTGCTGAAAACAGAGGTGAGAGTAAATAAATGAGTGAAAGTTGATATAAATTCAAGTCATTTCACGAAGGATTCTGCTATGATGGATTACAGGATGAACTGTCACAAGTTGGCAAGCTTTTCCAAAGTCTAGCTTTGCTTACTGTTTGAACAAGTTGTGTAGACTGTAATTTACCTTCTAACAAAAAACATGACTTTTAGTACCAGGTTGGAATTATTTAGGATCACCATGTAACAGGATTCAAAAGTAAGTAAAACAGCTGAAAAATCCAACAGTCTGTTCTAACCTGGTATGCTCTGTCTCCTCACAGCCAACGCTCCATCAGGCGGCTTTGTCTGGCTGGCGGATTTAGTGTAGGGACTCTCATCTGCAAAGGTACAATGAAGGGTTTGGTTAATTTCCATCAAGTTTCTAATGTAATGAAGATCTTTAGTGGATTGTACTCCTTCTGCCAGAGAGAGGTGACATAATATTGTAGAAAGAGTTGTTAACCCTAACCCTAACTAACTTGAGTGAGTTGTGGGACAAGTCATTGGGAAGGTTTTGAACATAAGTTTCTTCTCCTATAAAAGAGGTATAAAATTCTCATTTACCTCTTAAGGTTGTCAGGATCAAAAGCTGTAAAGCCCATGAAGTCATTCAGAAAATGTAAGAAATATGCAAATCTAGTATGCAACTTATTTGCTTTTTGACTGCATTCGGTGGTAAATAAGATATTAGTAAGTATGTTTAAATGGAAGACAAAGAAAGAGTAAAATAGCTCAATGGTTATTAAGACTAATCAGGTAGAAGAAAAAAGAAAATGAGATGAAGTATAATATTCCAGGTAAGCAGACAACAGAACATTAGCATTGCAGGAGACGAGCAGAGTTAGTAGGGGTCTTTTGGGAGTGTGAACCGCATTCTGAGCACTGCAGAGGGACAGGGTAATTCAGAGGTCAGACCAGAGAAGCGGGTTGAGAACAGGGAAGGAAGGATGGTTTGGCAGAAGAAGATAGATTGCAATGAGCTAATTGGCCCTCTTTTGAGAAAGAGATGAAATAACCTTTCAAACAATAAAAAGAACTGAAAGGACAGAAAGTCTAAAGCTCAGTATATTGTGTTAGGCAAGAAATCGAATGATTAAAACACTAGGTGACAAGATATTAGAGGAAATGAGGCCAAAAGGTTACAGGTGTAAATTTTTTTGTTTTGTTTAGTTTTGGGTTTTTTAATATAAACTGACTTGAAATACAGTCAGTTGATCAAGGATGGCAAACATTAGGGTTAAAATAGGAAGGAACAATTCCTTCTTTGGATGGAGGCATTCATATGAAGTGAAAGATTTCTGAGTAACAACCTTAAGAGATTCAAGAATAGGATGTATATGACTTGAGTAAATATAATGTGAAACAAATATCTAGCATGTTCAGTCAAGCTAGATGATCCAAAAGTCACCTGTGCCCACATTATAATTTTTGTTTATTATTGTTGCTTTAACAAGGGATCATTGAAGAATGAAAACAGCTCATACTGTGCCTGGAAAACTATTAAACGTAGCAAGGATTTGATTCAGCCACAAGGCTTTATCATCTGAGAACATTAATTCTCCCAGCTAAGTAGTTTGTGTTTCAAAATTGAGGCACATTTTCTCTCTAAGATGTACTTCTGGTTGAAGTGATTCACGACTTCCTCATAAAACTAACAAGGTCTTTATAAGCAGTGACAAAAAGGAAAGATTAACTCTGCTATAAACTGCAATTAACTTAAAAACTGGCAGTCACACTGTTTCATGTTTACATTCCATTTGTCATACAATTCTTTATATTCTTCTAACCATAATGAAAACTAGCAAATTTACACACCAAACAATCAACATCATTGTTGCTTTTGAAGCAATATTTTAGGTTCTTGATTTGTTTTCTTTGCAAACACAACTCTGAGTATATCAAAATCCACAAAATTGAACTTTAACACTACTAACATCACCATTTGCCCCATCATTTCCTCCTATTTGAAGGCTTTTCTTACAGTCTTAATTTAATAACCAGGTTTTATGCTTTATGTAGCATCTATGAAAACAAACCAACTGTAAAATCCTGAGATTAATGATGAGACTGCTTAAAAACATATTTCTTTTCATTATTCAAAACTTTGAAACAATATTTATGCAGAGTAGTCAGCAAGATGACTGTGATTATGTTTAGAGTCAGCATTTTGGAATTGTGAAGACTTTCTTCAATTTTTAATTTGTCAAGATTACACCCAATTAAAATATTTGGTTGAATCTGGTTTTAGATTTTCTTGAAGAACAGTAAGAGATGCTCAGCAGACTCTGGGGTTAACTGCAGTTGAAGCTTTATTTTAAGGACATATTTCTTTAGAAGTTTACCCAGTTTGAGTACATAAGTAGTCACTCCTGGTAAAATGGTTTTCTCATTTATATTTGAAAGCAATTTCCTAGATGTAGAGCTGAGATGGTCTAGTTATGCACATTCTTAAAAGGTCGGAACTGAATTATAGATGGCCACCTGGCCAGCATCTACTTCCTTCCCCATCTCCCATTCCGACTCCTACTCCCACCTCCACCGTCAAGAATGTCCTTTCCAAGTGCAGGCAACAGCAAAAGTTTTATTGGTCAAAGGACTAGACTGAACTAAGTTCAATTGTCATCTAAGAGTAGCTTGCATGAGTCAGTCTGGGGGAAAGCAATGATTCCTAATGTGGCGGAAGCTTGGCAACATTTATTGCTAGTCGGAAGAAGACAAAAGCAACAGAGAATCATGGTGCAATTTAACCCTTTGATTTCAGGAATATTCCCCCTGGAATATCTATTTGAAAATAAAAGAGGCATCATGATCCTTTTTTTTTTTTTTAATAAAGACTTTTCATCACAGAATGGACTTTAGCTCTGTGGATGTGATTTCCTAAAAGTCAACACTTAATTCAAACTTTGTCTGCAAATAGTAAAGGAGAGAAGACACTGCATTAGTGGCCGATGGCTCCATAACAGGACACTAAAGGACAGGACTATACAGGGTATTTTAAATCACTTGTATACAATTATTGAAAGCTGTGGAAACTTCTACCATGATCTTTGCATGTGTCCATTAAGTGCATTTGCAGATACAGTTCTACAACTTCACATTTACAAAAGATAATCTACTCTTTGGTTAGAACTGAGGCTTAGAGAGGTGTGTCTATAGAAGGCCACATAACTGAAGTGCATCTCGACTGAAGTTCTTATGCTCTCTGTATCAGGTTATTTCTTCTCTATCTTATTTTCTTTCAATAGACAAGTCAATTTTATTGCTCAGTGGGGTAACACACTGCTGGACCACATAAAAAAATGAATGGACACATCCTACCTACCACAGAGAGCTTGCACAGCATAAGTAATTTCTATGAAGAAATCTGCAAAAGGGATACTTAGAAATTGTGCTATAGAACCAATTTATACTTAAAAGTTCACATTTTAAAGATAAAAATGTAAATGAGATGCCAATTCACATGTATTCATGAATTAAAAATAGATCAAATGAAAGAAATCAATAAGTAGATAATATGTCTAAAAGAATATCTTCCATAAAGTCCCTCATTAAATATTTGCTGCTAGTAATAAATTACATCAAAATTTTAAAATTAAGTGTTTATCATAAGTAACCTAAAGTATGAAATATACTCTATCTTATCTGATTCTCATTTTCTAGGCTTAAGGTCAATTACTTTAGAACTCAGACCTTATCCAAAGTTTTTTATATTAAAAATCTATGACTATAAAACTGATATTAAAATATATTTTTGTTTTTATTCAGATATAGAAGGATTTATTAAACAACCTTTAAAATCATTCCTTTAAACAAAATAATTATGATTTTTACACCAGAGTCTCTTAAGCCTTGATTTTTATGGCAAATCATATTGTCAAGGAATCCTTATTGAAAGTTATTATAGGGACAGAGCAGACATTGAGATAGTGAGCTCCTGCTCGCTAAAATAAACCCTTCAAGTAATCATAAAAGGCACTGCTGGGTATTTGAATTGCTAGCCTCTTGTAATGATATCTTAACAGCCGGCTAGATAATCATTGTCACACATGATGGCCTCCCACTGTCATAGGAACTTCGATATTGGTAATAATAGGGGAGGACAGGGATATTTTTTTTTACAAACATCCTGAGGACAAAGAATATGCCTTCTGTTAACAAGGAGAACTGACATAGTACAGAGGTTCAGACAGCGCTTAGTCAAGCATACGTTTAAAACAGAAGAATAACGGGCAAACCATCTGTCCCTCTCATTTAACCCAATTTGGCTGTGTTCTCATGTACCAAAGCACAGGAGAGGCAAACACTGATCATTTGTTTTGATCATATATTCCAGGTGAAGCTGATGTTTTTAAGCTTAGAAAGCAAGGGGCAGGTACATAGCAAGAAGCCTTCAGTCTACATCACAGATGAAGCTCACACTGAAGGTGGGATTATCATCTTGCAAAAGTGACTCAGGTCCCCTTTGGTTCTTGTATCTTTCAATGACTGCCTGACATCAATCATATCCACATATAATCAGGCTGATTCTCATCTCTTCACCTCCTGCCTCTCCATCTCTAAGGTCCGGGCTTCCCAGAGAAACCGGATATAACTATAGTTTCAGGACTTTCTGGCTGTGCTCAAGGTTTTGTTGAAAAAAAAAAAAAAACATTAATTTCCTTCGGCTGAGACTAATCAGCCTAGGCTAAACAATTCCTACCAACTAATTATGCACAATTGAGGCACCTGCTAAGCTAGAAGGTCCCTTAACTTCTTGATTAGAAAAAAAAGACATTTTGTGCAGTAAAACATTATGACTATTTCCTGGCCGTGGGGAGACAAGCAGCTCATTGCACGATGTTCAGGCACATCATTACGAACTCAGAAGAAAACTCTGCTTTCTATAAAGGAACCAAATGAAACCCATTTTGAAAGAAACAATGTATCCCTTGAATTCAATTAAGTTCTATAAATTTTAGTGCCTACTACATGCAAACAAACTCAAAATGGATGAAAGACAATATGATTTCAGCGGACTGATTACAGAATTCTTATTACCTTGTAGGTCTGAGAGTGGAACATGGTACAAGATTTTCCTAAGGGGAATGAACATGGGTTTGGGGCAAGGGCGCAGAGGTGGGGCACGGGAAGACACAGGAAGAGTCACCACAATGACCCTACCCAGAATGATGCAATCAGACAAGAAGCACACATTATTTTAAGCTTTCAGCTAACATGGCAGTGTTGTATTGGTGATGAGCCATAATCTGCAACTTGTGAACATTTTATTCCTACCCAGAATGACCATACTGTGACTGTTTCTCTGTCAGATCTTGATCTTCCATAAAGTTTGCTGCCG